AGACCTTTATAAGATGAAGGATTTCTTGCTAAGAGAAGACCCCGCAAGTCTTCCAGATTGTCCCCAGGAGAAGGGATCCGAGCCGCAGTATGCGCTCTGCCCGCCTGGCCCCTGCGTCTTGCAGGATTGCCTGCTGCTGCTACCCTGGATGGTCCTTTAGCAACTCAGTGCGGCTGCTTGTGGGGACTGTTACCGCAGGTGTTTCCCTGACCTGGGAAAGATTTTGGTAAGGCAGTGGAGGTCTCTTCTCCCCCTAAAGCCTGCACCAATTGATGTCTTACTTTTTTTTTCAACTGCATTTTAATTACCACTCTGAACAACCCGATTCAAATAATGTGCCCTAGAGTTGATGAAACCGATGGCAGACGAGTGTTTCTGTGCTGTGGACTAAGGATCATTACCTACTGATAAGTGTTCTCACTCATAGGAGGGTGGCTGTTTGACATTTTTCACTGGTCTCCGTTTTCATCTAACTCAGAAACATTTCTTCGTGTAAACATCTCTAAAATTAACTTCTTGTGCATCTGGCTGGTTGACTTTTCACTTAAACTCGTTTTTCTAAAAAAATTAAGAATGGTTAAGGTGAGAGTCTTCCCGCTGACATTTTCCATCTTCAGGCGGTCACGTCTGGTCCAGTATGCTTGTTGATATGACTGCTCCCATGTGTAACTAATTGGTAGCAGGCTGTAGAGCCCAGTTTGACTGGGCTGTTGAGTCTCTCATAGAAGAGGCATCCAGAGTAGATTGCAAAATCATTGTCAAAAGAGCTCTTCAAGGGCCACGCTGTTAATTCCACCTGTAGCATAATGTGGTAGAGGCTCTGTGGCATCTGGCTGGATTCCTCATTCTGTCAGTCGTTTGCTGTGTGAACCCAGCAGTTTTCTGGAGGGTCTGATTCCCCAGTATCCTCATCTGAAAGCTGATAATACCCATCTCTTCTGACTGTTGTGTGTTGCCTGAGAAAAATACATGCATAAATCCGGAAGACTTGCTTAATAGCACAGTTATCAAGTGCCGTATTTTGAAATAAAAGAGCTTGCTTGAATGACTATTTCCAAACTTCTCCCCTGTACTGTTAGTTACATCAAATAGTACCGTAGTTCTTAGAGCCTCAGGTAACACTGAACTGCTGCAGTTACCTGCTCTTACCTGGCTGACGCCTTCGTTGCCACAAGCAGTGGTGCCCCTCTGCTACCCCGCCTCCTGAGCACACAGGTTATTGCCGATGAGGCTCTCTTCCTGTTAACAAGCGCCCACACCTGTGGACTTTGAGGATGTCTGTGTTAGCTGGGCTTCCTTCCTCTCCTTGCCAGTGTCCCTCTGTTATGTCAGCCCACCTTCTGTCACTGTGTGTGCCCTGTGAAACTGAAATGATGTGTTTAGGTATTTCCTCTTTTATTAGGCTCTGAGCTGTGAGCGTGGAACCCTGCCTTGTTCACATTTCTTTCCCCAGTGCTGAGACACCTAATACAGTGGGCTCCATGGAGTACTGCAGTGGTTTGGACACACAGAATTTCAGATTTGTATATTACCTGGAATTAAAAAAAAAAAAGGAAAAGAACTTACGGACATGTTGGAATGTCCTAAATTCATATGTCTTTACTTGGTAAAAGAAACAAACCACCCCTCTCATTACCATGCTTAATATTTTCAAAAGGTATGACGACTATTATTTCAGAAAAAGGGAAGACTTTTCCACAAATGAGCAGACAGTCTTACTGTGTGGGTGCGTATGCACAGTACAGTATGTATGTGTTTTTAGAGAGGCCCCGCGTGTGCGGAGGCTCTGTGGCAGGATGAGTCCGTCTTAGGCAAGCAGAGTGCCTTGAGGAGAGAGGCAGGTGGAGCCTTGTAGGCCCCAGAGTGGGCTGTGGGGGAGGAGGGAGTGTGGGCTGATTGTAAGCGCAATGGGAGGAGTGTAAGCGTGGTGGGGAGGTGCTTCATGCTTTACCAGGACTTGGAGCGCTGTGTGAAGGTACATTGGGTTGGGGGAGAGTGAAGGAGGACCCTTAGGAAGCTTCTGCAAGCTTGGGAGAAGCGTGGGAGAAAGATGGCTTGCACAGTGGAGATGGGGAGCAGGCAAATCCATGGGTATTTTGGAAGAAGAGCCAACAGGACTTGGATTGAGTGTGGCAGGTGAAGAGGAGGAGGAGTCCAGGACGATGTCAAAGGCCCCATAGGTGGGAGGGCCACTTTCGGAGGAAAGGAGGACCAGAAAGGGAGCATGTTGCACAGATAGACTCGAGAGTGGAGGGTTTTTTAAAAAGTGTTGTTGAGGTACAATTTACGAACCATAAAATCCATTCATTTAAGTATACAGTTCAGTGATTTTTAGTAAATTTATAGAGATGTGCAGCCATCACCATAATCCAGTGTTAGTACATTTCCATCACCCCCCCAAAAGATCCCTTGTGCCCCTTTGCAGCTACCCCATGACCCCCTCCCCACCCTAGGCAGGCTGACCCACCTGCCATCTCTATAGATTTGCCTGTTCTGGGCGTTTAGTATAAACGGCATCATACAGTACGCGGCCTGTTAGGGCTGGCTGCTTCCGCTGAGCTTGTACTTTCCAGCTTCATCCACACTGTCACAGGTTTCAGTCCTCATTCATCCTCATAGCTGAATAGTGTGTCGTCGTGTGGTCAGACCGCGTTTTGTTGATGGACACTGGGGAGTCTAGTTTGGGATGTGCCAAATTTAAAACACTTGTGCCATTTCCAGATGAAGAAGTCAAGGGGCCATTTACATGAATCTGGGCCCTGGATGGGGCACTTTGGGTGGTTATAAATCTGTGGGTCATTGGCAGAAAGATGGTATTTGTAAGTGAAAGGAGTGGAGAAACCACTGAGGGTAGAGAGAGAAAGAGGGCCCAAGCTTGGTGTCCAGGAGTGTTGGGCAGTCAGGTAGCAGACGGTGAGCCTGCAGACGGGACCACACAGCGGAGGGGTGGGAGGGGACCAGCACGGGGCCGGCGGCCTGGGGGAGTGTGGGCTCACAGGAGACTGTTTGGAGAAGGAGGAAGTGGTCTGATGCACAGCCCTCCTGAGAGGTGAATGAGGAAACAAGAGTCCACTGACGTTGGCGACTTGAAAGTCGTGTTGGCCTTGAGAAGACTGGAGCGTGCCCAGAGCAACGGAAAGTGAAGTAGGAGGTACCACGGGAGCCCTGCGACTGCCCCAGGTCCATCTGTGAAGGAGTCAGGCTTGAAGGACACATTGTACCTGCAGTCCAGTTCGTTCCGTCTGTGATGTTTGCCTTTTCATTTGCCTGACAACATGCAGCTTGGTTAGCAAACTAGCCGCAGCTCCATGGATTTAATCAGATCACCATTGTTCCATGTCTCTCTCTCAGACTGTGTGCTAGTGAAATATTACTTAGGCTCATAAATCGTTCAGGACTGTGTTTGGTTGTGAACACCAGAAAACTCGATTGAAGGGTGGAACAAATGAGCTCTTCTGTGCAGAAAACAGTAAGTCCAGAGGCGGAGCATCTAGTGTTGGTCTGGTGCCTTCCGGGCCCTCAGCTGCTCGGTCCTTCCACTTCCATACAGAAGTCACGTGCTAAAGATGGCTCTTCCCTCTTGGTTGAAAGATGTGGCTTCAGTTCCAACATCAAACCTTTGTTCCAGGCAGAGAGAAGGGGAAGGGTGAAGGACAAAAGGCCAGAGGAGTCTCCACCACCAGTTTCTGCGGGCGTCTCATTGCCCAGAGCGGTCACATGGCCACCTGGCTGCAGGGAGGCTGGGAACCATAGTGCTGCCTGAGCAAACTGAGGGTTCCCTTAGTGTGGAGAAGGGGGACAGGGAGTTTGGGGGAGGTGCCTGTCACTCTTTAAATAGATCTTAATCAGGTGAAGCCTAAAGAAGGGAGGCAGGTGGGAACCCTCAGGTATCACTTTTGAGAAAACTTTGGCATATGAAGCTTGGTGACAAGTCCAGGGAGCGATTGAACAGTTCCATGTCTTGTGGAGTACTTTTCAGAGCTGTAACTTGTTTGAATAGACTGATGGGTTGACCTTCACATTTTTTTTTTAATTGAAGGAGTGAAAACAGAACTTAAGCATGCATTTCTATATGTTAAAATGTAAAAATGATGGATGTTTTCAAAAACCCAGATTAGTGCAGCATCTCATGCTGTTCTTTGTTTCCTTTTGTCATATTGGGGATGAAAAGAAGACGAAGGGAAATGGTTGCTGTTGGCATTGGGGTCACGCGGTCTGTGTCCCAGGCTTTGCAGCAGCTGCAGTGGTTCATATATAATGAATGCATCTAGCCACAGAAAAAAGTAAAAGAATCCGTCAAAGCATATACACGGGCAAGAATGAAAAGATGACTGCTTGGGCCCTGGTGTAACAGCAGGTGTAACCTCCATCCAGACGCTGCACCCAGAGGAGGCCCAGAGCTGTCGGGGCAGCACCCTGTCCGGGGCTCGGCAGGTAATTGGCGCTTAGTAAATGAACAGGCATGTGGTGGATTTCTGCCAGCACTGCTGTCAGGCACTTCGCTCTTACATCCTTATGTTCTTTAGCTGTTTTTTCCCCACCTGACTTTCTTGTAGGATATTTCCAACCCTCTATCCAAGTCTGGTTGTAGAGGGCTGGATTGCTAACCAGACTGTTCAGTTAGGAACCACAGATCTGCTTCTCTTTAGGTTTTGTAAATGCCCTACACTGAGAGGGACCATCTGCATTCAGAATTACCAGTTGGCAACAACTTGCAGTTAGCCACTTTGTGAATTTTGCTTCTCAAGTGCATTTTGTCCATTAAGTGGGACCCTAGCATTTCACTTCTTTCTACTCCGTGCATTTATCTCCCTCCGAGTCCAGGAGGTCCGGAACTGTTTATCTTTTATCTCCCCTAGCTCCTGGCTCAGAAGCCTTGCTAAATATTTGAGTTGGACTGCCCAGCGAGCTTGTGCACAATTGTGTTTGTGGACGCGTGTCCTCTGGCGCTCTGGGCTGGGGACGCGTCTCATCCTTGAAGAGCTGCCTCATTTGTTTATTCTTTGATTCCCTTTTAGGTACCTTCTCTGCTGCAAGAATGTAAGATGGAGCCAGAAGAGCAGGAACTATTGAATGATTACAGATACAGAAATTACTCTTCAGTGATTGAAAAGGCCTTAAGAAATTTTGAGTCCTCAAGTGAGTGGGCGGATCTCATATCCTCCCTGGGCAAGCTCAACAAGGTATGTGGGGCTGGGAGCATTGGGATTGTGTGGGGGCGGGGACATAGCTGCCCTTTTATTACTTCAAGGACGTGTCTTTTTAGTGTTACACTACATGCTGATTACAGCCATCAGATAAGAGGAAACACCTGTAACTCTGTCGCCCAGCGTTACCCACTGTTAACCAGTCAGCATCCGTATCTCCTTCCAGCTCTTTTTCCCTAAGCACAGAAGTACAGTGTGCATACAGCCAGTAGAAGAGCCAAACAGCCTTTCTCTCAACAATATTTAGGTCTAAACAAGGTAATAAGTTTTTAAACTGTGCAGTTATGCAAAGATGAATCATCCTTTGTGTAGTGCTTAGGATTTTTATGACTTTTTCTTACCTGGTCTACTTTTTTTCACCATTTTAGTGCCAACTGGTAACTCCTAGAATAAAGGATGAAATAAGTACTGAAATCTGCCCAGAAGTTGTGTGTGTTTGGACAGGGGAAAATGGGGCGTGGCAGGTCTAGGAAGACCAGAACTGGTTGCATGTGGGCTTGACCTTGTGTTCTAGAGATGGGACCACTGTATTTTCCCATCCTGCCCAAAAGGAGGGTGATGCAGTGACGCCCAAGCACTTGGGTGACCACTGTGTCCTGTAGGAAGCAGATATGTGGGCTTGGAGAGGCTGTGCCTGGCTCCCCATTGCTGTGTGGACAGGGCTCCCGGCTGTGACACCTGACACCTGTGAGCCTGAGTGCCATATGGAAGCTGGGAGATGCCCAGCCTACTCTGGGAGGTCCCCACTCCCCAGCGCACACACACCAGGGGACTCGAACAAACCTTGCTAAAGAGAAGGAATTTGTCTTTTTACCTTTTTAAGGAACGGGGGGGTGGGGGAGGAGTTAGAATGCGAGTGGCCTGACCACGGGGACAGCGTCTGGGCAGCCATCCAGCACCAACCGCCAGAAGGCAGCTGTCAGCGCTCACAGATGGCACAGTGGAGATAGGCAGTTATTACAGGTTGTCGCTGGGAAACTGCACGGTCTCTGCAAGGTGGATTTACAACACGGGAGCATCGTGGCTGGTGCTGGCAGGGAGGGAGACCTGTAATAAAACAGCAGATAAGAGTTTGAGAGTGCTTTGGTTGTAGGGCTGTAACTCAGGATTTTTCTAGCTGACATTCACTGTCTTGCATGAAGGTGGGCTGCTTTTTTAGGGGAAAACAAGGAGCCCTGGTGTGGGATTTGGGCATATTCAGGTTTTTCTAACTGTGTCAATAATTACTATTTGACTCTCCTGGAATCTAAAAACAGCATCCTTTTTTGGGGCGGGTGTATTTAGTTTTTTGCTCTTGAGTTAAAATTCATGCAACCATTCAACCATCTTAAAGTATACAGTAAAGTGGCTTCTTGTTCGTTCATGATGTTGTGCAGCCATCACCACGGTCTAGTTCCAGAACATTTTCACCCCCTCCAAAAGGAAACCCTTGCCAGCCCTCCCCTTCCCCAGCCCCTGGCAACCACTAATCTATTTTCCATGTCTACAGATATTTCATATAAAAGAAATCGTACAATAACATGGCCTCTTGTGTCTGGCTTCTTTCATTTAGCGTGTTTGCAGGGTTCATCGTGTTGTTACGTGTGTCAGTATTTCATTGCTTTTTATGGCTGAATAATGTTCCATCGTGTGACTGGGCCACATTTTGTTTATCCATTGAGTTTCTACAGTTTGGCTCTTGCTGAATAATACTGTATGAACATTTGTGGACGAGTTCTTCTTTGAACACCTGTCTTCATTTCTTCTGGGTATATACATAGGAGTGGAGTTACTCAGTCATACGGTAATTCTGCATTGAACTTACTGAGGAACCACCAAACTGTCTTCCTCAGTGGCTGCCCCGCTGTGCACGCCCACCAGCGGTGTATGAGGGTTCTGATTTCTTCTAATCCTTGATGACATTATTTTAACCATAAAAAACATATTTTAACCATAAAAATATTTGTGGTTGTTTTTATGTACCTTCTAGGTTCAGGCATTATTGTGGAGGTTGTTTCTAGAGTAATTAAACTCATATTACTTATTAAAAAACACTTTTTTCAGGGTTTTTTTGCTGATAGCCCTCTTAGTGGGTATGCAATGGTGTCTCATGGTTTTGATTTTTATTTCCCTAATGACTAAAATTTTGAGCATCTTTCCATTTGCTTATTGGCCATTTGTATATCCTCCTTGGAGAAACTTCTATTCAAGTACTATGTCTGTTTTTTCACCACGTTGTTTGTCTTTTTATTGTTGATTTGTAAGAGTTCCTTATATATTCTGGATACTGGCCCCTTATTGTATATATATTGGGCACATATTTTTTTCCCCAGTCTTTGGGTTGGCTTTTCACTTTTTTGATAGTGTCCTTTGATGCTCACAATTTTTAATTTTGATGAAGTTCAATTTGTCTGTTTTTTCTTTTGTTGTTTGTGCTTTTGGTGCATAGCCAAGAAACCATTGCCAAATCCAAGATCATAAAGATTTACCCCTGTGTTTTCTTCTAAGAGTTTTATAGCTTTAGCTCTTAACGTTTAGGTCTTTGATCCATTCTAATTTTTTTTAATTGAAGTACCGTCAGTTACAATGTGTCAATTTCTAGTGTACAACACAGTGTCATTCTGAGTTAATTTTTTGCACTTGGTGTGAGGTGCGGCTCCAACTTCATTCTTTTGCACATGGAAATCCCACGTTGTTCCACATGTGAAAAGCCATCTGTTGAAGAGGCAGTTATTTTCAAGGGTCTTGGAACTCTTGTTGGAAATCAGTTGACCATAGAGAAATGGATTTACTTCTGGACTTTCATTTTTTTTTCCAGTGATCTATATGCTTATCTTTATGCCAGTATCACACGTTTTGATTATTGTAGCTTTGTAGTAAGTTTTGATATGAGGAAGTGGGAGTCTTTCAACTTTGTTGTTCTCTTTCAGAATTGTTCTGGGTTCCTTGAAATTCCATTTGAATTTTAGGATCAGCTTTTCAATTTCTGCAAAAGCCAAGTGGGATTTTGAAAGGGATTGCCTTACTCTGTAGATGGCTTTGGGAACTATTACCATGTTAACAATATTATGTCTTCTAATCCGTGAACACAGAATGTCTCCCCATTTATTTAGGAGCATGTGCATTCTGAGGTAGGTAAAATTATGAACTTGAAAAGTGCAGTTCTTTAGCAATGAGGTATTCTATGAAACAAACTTTGTTTCAGTAGCCCTGAAAACTTTCAAAAGTTTTTAATCATTTTAACCTGTCTTTTAGAATGCAGGTGATCGGATACGGTTGAGTCTTTCTTTAAGGAGCTTTGAAAGCACTGGCCATTCGTTCATTCATTCATTTATTCAGTAGCCTTCTCAGTGCCTGAAACATGCCAGTAGGTAAGTGCCAGGGCACAGCAGAGAACAGAACTGACAAGACCCTACCCTCACTGTAGCGGGGGTGGGGGAAGCTGTGTGATAAACACAATATACATGCTGTTAGGTGGTGATGAGTGCTGTGCCAGGAGTGGAGAGGGGATGGGACGGTGAGTATCGGGAACACTGTGATTCAGTGGGGTCATCAGGAAGCCTTGCTGAGTCAGTGCCAGTTTGAGACACACTCAGGCTCTGGTGGCCAGGGAGGTTGTCATGAAGCAGGCAAGGAATGGGGAGACCGCAGGAAACAAGGCCACAGAGGGGAGGGTTGGGGGGCATCTGATCCTGTAGGTCCTTTAAAACCGGAGTCTGACAGTGGCCCCTAAGGGGGGAAGCTGCCCAGCAGAGTGATGTGGCCCGGCCTCCGTTTTAGGTGCTAAAACCATTTCCAGCTGCTCTAGTGAGGTGGGGTCAGGCAGAAACAGGGAGACCACTTAGGAGCTGTTGCTGTAACATAAGTGAGCCAGCGGGGAAGCGTCTGTTTTTGGAATAGACTTCAGAGGTGTAGCAAATGGGCTTTGCCTGTGGATCAGATGTGGGATATAAGGGAAAGGGGAATGGGGTACGACTTGCAGGTTTCCTCCCAGGTCTTTAGCTTGAGAAGCTGAAAGGGTGCGATAGGGAGACGGGAGAAGCTGGCCCCGTGGGCTGGGAAGGGAGGCCAGGGGTTCCCTTTGGGACGGATTAGTTTGCGCGTCCAGTGGATGTCCCGTGGCTGGTGAGATGTGAGTCGTATGGGGTAAGAGTTTTAAAAGACAACTTCTGTTACGGTCGTTACCCAGTTGCATGTAACCCCACTCCTGCGTCCTCTTTGCTCCAGCTTCCTGTTCTCTGCGGCCACAATTAGGTAATGAGGAGAGCAGCCCCCTTGATGAGCTTGCAGGAAATCCATGGGATGAGGGTGACACGTCTGTCCCACCCTCGGCCTTGCTAATGACAGCTGACATCATAGAGAGCCTACTGTGTGCTGAGGACTCAGTGTGCATAGTTATATGTACTTACAGCGTGGCTGGAGGTTGGACTCAGACGCAGCAACTTGTGCAAGATCACAGTCAGCAAGTAGCAGAGGGAGGACCCAGGTCCTGTCTGCCGACCTCCAAGCTTCATGCTCTGGAGCGGGGCCCCCCGACTGTTTTCATGTCAGTGTCTGTACGGCTCACATAAGCGGACAGGAGAGACATCTCTCTGCTTTCTTTTTTACCAAACAAGGTAGAGCTGATTATTAGCTCCATTTTACTGGTGAGGTTAGCTAACTGCCCAGTCTCATACGGCTGCTGAGTGGTTGTTAAGGGTTGAAGTGTGTCCTCCAAAAAAAGACTGGTCCTGACCCGCAGTATCTCAGAGTGTGACTTACTTGAAGATCCAGTCTTTACAGAGCCGGTCAAGTTAAAAAGAGGTCATTATCCAGCATGACTGTGTCCTTATAAAAAGGGGAAATTTGGACACTGACATAGTCATGCGGAGAGGGAAGATGCCATGTGAGGATGAAGGCAGAGATTGGGGTAATGCAGTTAAAAGCCAAGGAACCCCAAGATGGCCAGCAAACTGCCAGAAGCGCAGCCTGGAGCAGAGTCTTCCTAAGCCTCAGAA